ACAATGGATCAACACATGTGGCATAGGTTTTTACCACAAAAGGGTCTCAGCTAGCAAGCATCTTAACCAACTTGTTTCTTCACTAGTAGTCGCTAATGCTATCATCTTAGACTCAATCGTAGACTGAGCCAAGATAGAAAATTTCTTTGATTTCATATATACAGCTCCTCCAACTATACTAAATATATAGCCATTATTTTCTTTGGAATCATCTGATAAGGTATTCCAATTTGCATCATTATATCCTTCAAAAAACATGAAATCTTTGATAATGTAAACCAAGATTCATGCTCCTTTTGAGGTACGACATGACTTGCTCAAAATCTTGCTAGTGCTTGTTACTTTGTCTACTAGTAAACCAACACAATAATTCTACGGCATATGCAATATCGGGTCTAGTACAATCAGTGGTATACCTAAGACTGTCAATGATGCTCGTATATTCTATTTATCTGACACTTTCACCAGTGTTCTTAAGCAGCTTCACGCTCGGATGTTATGGTGTGCTCGTAGGTTTACAGTCAAAGTAATTATATTTCTTTAAGATCTTTTCTACATAATATGATTGATCCAAAGAAGTTCCTTGCTCGAATCTCGCGATCTTGATACCAAGAATCACGCTTGCTTCTCTGAGGTCTTTCATATCAAACTTGTTACATAACAATGATTTCACATCATTAATGGCCTAAATGTTTGATCCATATGTGAGCATATCGTCTACATAGAGACATATGATAGTGCAAATGTGATTCTCAGATTCGTAATAAACACATTTATCACTTTCATTCACTTTGTACCCATTTGATATCATTAAGTTATCAAACTTTTCATTCCATTTCTTTGGAGCTTGTTTGAACATCCATTTGGTTTACTATTAATTTATATATAGCGGCTATTGAAATTAGTACCCCGATGAATGTAATTTGAGTGACTGGTGAAAAGTATCAAAGAAATCTATATTTTCTCTTTGGCTAAAAATTTTGGCTACAAGGCGAGCCATGTACTTATGAATTGTTCCATCAGGTTTAAGTTTCTTTTCCAAAATCCATTTACAACCTATTGGTTTTAAACTAGGAGGCAATTCTACTAAGTGTCATGTCTTATTAGATTTTAGAGAATCAATCTCATCATTAATAACTTCTTGCTACAAATCTGCATCTAGAGATGACAAGGCTTCTTGAAGACTTATTAGATCTTCTTCTACATTATAAGTCATATAATCCGGCTGATATTCTTTAGCAACTTTTACTCTTTTACTTCGTCGAAGTTTTGTTTCTACTTCGTCATTGCTTTATGTGTTTCTTATCACATGAATGTGACTCGAAGTAATGCCCCCACTATTTTTTGATTTGAAAGAAAATTTGTCTTCATAGAATTTAACATCATTTGATTCTATGACCACTTTAGCATTTAGCTCATAAAACCTATATGTCTTATTGTTTGTTGAATACCTAACGAATACACGTTCATAGGTTTTATTAGCGAGTTTAACTCACTTCAAATTTAGAATTTTGACATAAGCCAAATAACTCCAAGTTCTTTAAATAAGATAAATTTAGTTGTCTTTTCTTTAATATCTCATAAGGAGAGGTCTTACATTTTGAGTTGGGAACTCGATTCAGAAAATAGCAAACATTCAATAAAATTTCCCCTACTAGTGAGATGCAGCACCATAATTCAACGTAATAGCAACAACTAGCTCAGTAAGAATTATATTCTTTCTATCTGCTTTACCATTCATTTCAAGAGAATATGGTGTAGTTTTTTCATGTACAATTCAATGTTGTTTGTAAAATTCATTAAATAGACTGAAATCATATTTTGTTTCTCTATCACTACAAATTTTGTTAATCTTATTACTAAATTAAATTTCCATTTCATTCACAAAAGTTTTAAACATCACAATTTCACAAAAAAAAATCTTTTTTAGTGATTTTATACAAATCTACCCCAATAGACTCTCTACCTTTTTCAAAAGAAAACCACAAATAAGATTATTTATAATCTTTGAAGTATGCATGAAATCCTTTAAGATTAAAGTCTTTTCAAAAGTGGACTCTGCTCCATTTCTCCAATACCAACAACTTTAGTGGTGTGGCCAACTCGCAACGATAATTTCTTATTTTTAGTATTCGTGTATGTTTTGAATATAGCATGATCATATAAGACGTGAAGAGAGGTGCCAATGTGTATCCACCAATCATCAGATCCACCAACCATGTTGATTACAGTTCTTGTAGCAACAAATTCATGATCAATCAAGTCAACATGTGCATTATAGCCAACTATAGGTTTAGGATTTCTATTACATCTCTTAGCCTTATGACTCGCCTTTCCACAATTAAAATAGATGAACGAAAGAGCATCATTTCCTTGAGGTGGTGGTTGCTTCCTAGTAATCGGATCAGATGGGACCTTAGAGGGATTCCTATTCTTAATTCAGCTCAGAGCATTTTAATTCTGATTCCTTAATCATTTGCCAAATAGATTTAGAAATACACCAATTTTATTTATGTTGTTTTAAACAACCAAGACTTTTCTTTTTGATCTTGTCTCTGACATTATTTTTCAACTCGGAGGAGAATAATCAGACTCTCAATTAAAAAAACTTTTTATTATGGTGAAACAGAATATTTAAAAACTTTCAAACTATGGTAGACATGATAAAATTAGAAATGACAATATTAAAGAGTGTTGGGATACCATATAGTAGAAAAGATGGTGTAAAATAGATTTAAGTGATTTAAGCATGTAGAAAGAAAAACTATAGGTTTATATTGTAAGGAGGTGGATAAAATGAAAAAGAGTCAAACAACTATGCATAGATAAATACCTAGAAAAACTATAAGAGGAAATGTCATCAAAAAACTTTGGAATAAACAGATTTATTAGAAACATGACATTAAATACAACATTAAGAAGGAGTTTGTCGTCTACTTTGTCGTTCAAAGAGAGCATTCACTCAACTTGGACTACAGGTATTTAAACGGGCAGCCCCTAGTTCCATTCGTGAATGGTCAACAAGTCAATGAAGTACTTAAGGTATGTTACATCGACGTAGGCTGCACTTCTGTCCACAAACATGAGCCTGCCAACCAAGAATATAAGGTAATACCTCAAAGCACACTCTCGGTGGTAGGTAACCTCTAGATCATCGTTGTCAACTTCTTCGACCAACTCCAAGTTTTCTCCATAAAGCTTATTCAGATATGAAAATTTGGCATGAGCACCTTTGGTGCTCTCACACTGCACCAGGGCTTCCATCGGGTCAGCGCACAATTAAATGACCATCATCTCCTAGGCTTCATTGTGTTTGATCCTGGAACAACCAAGTAACTTCCCCCTAATGGAAATGTGTAGAAGGCAAGTGGCGTCATCTAATTTATGTTTCATCTCGCTAATGGAGAAGTGGAAAGTTGACGTTTCTTTATGACATCTCTCAACAAAAGCCTCATGCATGCCATGCCTAATTGGCTTGTGTTCGGAGCAACACATGCTGGCAAGACTGAAGTATCGAATGACATTTTAGGACCATTCAGCCTTAGGCTGATAAAGCTGCAAAACTTTTTGTTGTGGTTAACAAACTTCTAACATTCCCGTTCCTGTTAAAAAAAAATCAGCCGTAGGGAATTTACTTAAAACATATAAATAATAAGTGTTAACAAATATACATCTCCAGCCCAAACATGCTTAGCAACGTGATCTCTATGGTATATCAGTAAGGTGTCAAAGGATCCTCCTGAATAAGGATATGCAAGAGGAGGGACACCATCATATACAACAGAAGCTTCCTCCTGGTCTACGTGAGCAAGGGAGACATGCCCCTGAGATGAGGACCCATGTGACAGGCAACTCCTAGAAGTTGATGTTTCTCCGTCAAAAGGCTTAGAGATGATTCCTCACCTAACTCTAGCCTACTCATTATGAAGTCTAGCCCTCTCACATCGAACATACGTGTGCTAGATTTCACGATCGTGAGTTGCATTTCTCCATCAAAGTATGTAAAATGAAGAAGAGGGAGGATGTGTCTATGCGTTATATATAAATTAAATATGTTGGGAGATGCATCTCTAAAAAAAAACTGATGTATTTGAAAAGAAAAAAAAAAGAATTAATCTGAAAATACTTATGCTGATAAACCCTAAAAACACATAAGATGCATCTCCAAATTAAATTTTAGCAAAGTGAAAAAAGTTCAACCATTTATGCTTATTTTATTAAGTGCATCCGAAAATGTGCATTTTTCACTTTTCCCCAAAAGTTTGGAAGAAATAAGGAGGAAAAAGAAATTGCCTAAAAGTTGGCTTATGTTTCAGCTTCAACATGTTCGCAAAAGCAGAATATGCTTGGTGGCTAGTATATAATTTAAATTAGATCCATATCGGCTCAACAACTAATTATATCTTCAATGCTTTCTAATTGTCTTTGTTTAGACTATTGCATTGTAGAATAAAGTGATGGACTTGTAAGTCCACATTTTTTATTAATTATAGAATTACCATCATTTTAATTAAAAAAAGTAAAAACCAAACAATTTCTAAAACCAATGATAAAGTTCTGATTTCTAAAATTTGATTTAGAACCAAAGACTGATAAAGTTCTGATTTCTAAAATTTGATTTAGAACCAAAGACTGATGAAGTTCTGATTTCTAAATTTTGATTTAGAACCAAAGACATTAATAAGTTCAAGTCTCTGCTGTCATGACAACAAAAGCTAATCAAGATCACGTACGTCTACATAAGAATTTGAGAGTATTAGTCAAGATGTGCTAAACAAAAGCAATGGGCTGGTTGTATCATCGAATTCAATCTCATGACTTTTATACATTAACCGTTTCAAATATCCTTACAGCTTTGAATATCTAAACATTACTTTAAAATTTCAAAAGAAAAAATTTGAATATGATTAAATTAATTAAAGTTCCACACCTAATAACTTTATGTGCAGGGTAGAAATCCATATTTTGTTTGAGAAGTTCGGCAGCTCTGCTAATTTTTCCTAATCAATTAACATTTCCGCACTATCTGTGGTTTGAATGGTGGCTTTGGTTATGCTTAGGCCTTCACCACCGTGTTTCTTCATTTCTTGGGACCTGATAAACTCTTCAATTCTTGCTTTGAGTTCAACATCAGGAATCAGCATATCGGCGGTAAGATGAGAACGGTTGAATGGGTCACTCTGCACAAATAACCACATAGAAAAGCATAAACAATGGATCATTTTTTTCAGAATTAACATCAGTAATAAGCAATAACAGGTCAAAGGGGTTTTTACACTATCGCTGAGAAGATGCCTCTGGATGACAGGACGATCAACTGTGATCCTTGAAGAAGGCAAGATAACCGGATCTTTCATCAAAGTGTACTACAACACAAAAAAAAAAAAACATCATTTATTCTTAGTGCATTTAAAATCATTAATAATAAAAACTAACAATTTACAGCTTTTGCAAAAACAAAAGTACGATTTTCATAAAACATAATGAAAAACAAACATGCAGCTAGTCATTGCTACATTAAGATCTCGCCACAAACATAGACTTTCCGGGCACAGAGAATAAAATGCTTAAAGCATACTTGGATTGGATCCAGGAATTCATCTGGTATTTCTCCAAGAGTAGCTTCGGCATCCATGGCCTCTGAAGCAGCAATTTTGGCTTTAGCACCAAGCTGAATAAATTCCTGTATAATTCTTCCATCCTCGCCAATCCTCCGAAGGACGTCTGCAGCAGAGCTGAACAACTGCAGCAAATTCAAATCAGATTGCATTCACTTGTTGGCTTATGGTATAGTACAGATGAGAAACTACTTGAGAACAACTGCAGTATGTTAAAAGTCTCAGAAAACTAACCTGATCATTGTATGATCGGCCATCCTTTGAGATAGCAGATGGGAAGATGGAATTTGTGTCACCTCTAGCCAGATGAACATATACATGCACAATCTTCAAATGAATAGATTGAAATTTAGTTAGTTCTCAGGAAACTAAAATCTGTGTCATGTAATATAGATGGGGCACAGGATTCTAGTGCCAAAGAGATTGATGTGGAACTTCAATGTTACTGTAACTATATATTCCTTAATGACAAAAAATACAAAGAGGAATCCCGCCCAATATCCCTCTTCAGAAAGGAAAAAAAAAACTATTAATATTCAACATAAAATGAATAATTAATAAGAAAAGGGTTAGGACAAAAGATTCTAGTACCCGGGAGGTTGAAAACTACAATGTTTTTGGCTATGGCAATATATATTCAGACAAGCACCAAAGAACACGCAAGAAGTATACGGGTTTTTAACAATATAACAGAAAATAAAAGTAGAGTATAACTGCACTTTTCTGTATTTGCCTTTGGGTCAACCAAAGGTGATGCCAACCTGTTTTAGCAAATGCTTTGGACGAAATTCATATTTTTCAGGATCTTTCAGACTAAGTGATTTTCTTTGGGGACCCACCAATTGCAGCAGAAAGTAATTGAGCATACTGGCCACTCTATCAACCTTGCAAAAGTGGAAAAATAAGATTAAGCTAATAATAACGTGTATAACACACTAATGTTGGGCAGAGAGAGTACCATCTCAGGAAGCAGGAACGGAGCAGTAATCTGCTCTGAAGTAAATGCAAGCATACTGACATCTTCATTTGCCAACTTCATATCTATCCGAATAATCTACAAAATTTTGCAGCGTTGTTTTTTTTTATTAGATTAATTTTAAAATATATGCAGAAATATAATTATTCAATAGACCAAAGTCAGACTGACATTTTCTTGAGAGTGGAATAACCGGGTTCTTTCCTGCCTCTCTTGAACTGGCCGCCGCTCCCATTCGACAGTATTTGACATTTCAGCCTCCAACTCTTTTAGCTCAAGAATTTTGTTCAGACTTTCGTCAAGAAGATAAATACTATCATTAATCAGAAAGTTTAAGAAATTGAGATAGACACCCTTTTCCTCCTCTTTAGCAATCTGTAACAAAATTAAGATCAGCAAAAACCAAATGAAGTAGAGAATCATGAGATAAAAAATCAAAATATCTTTTATGTATTACCTGTCTCCAAGCATTACGATGACTAGGGACATTCCACAAGTATTCAAGAAGTTCGGCAATATTATGACGGATGTTAAACTTGTCGTAGAACTGTAGTGAACAAGTAACAGATAAGACAATTTAGCTAGGAATTCTTGTAGCACTCAACAACACAAAAAGATTAATGATTCCAAACACTGAAAGTAATATGTATATTAATGTGTATACAATGCAAAACCATTATCGGGGCATTATCTATGAGCTATAGAAATTAGTGAAACAGTTCGAAATAAAAGTTCAACTGACATTGCTAGTCAATCACCACAAGTTTAGGAGTATAATGAAATATTTATTTAACAATCTTAATCCTGCCTATGTTAGCATTGCTATGCATAATCGGTCTCATGCCCGGATAAAAGGAGAGGGTTGGGTTAGGCAGTTGATAGCCAACATAAAACTTTGTCAAATCTCTGATATGGATCAATTACGTAATAATGTGAATAAAACGTTATGGTGGAATTTGATCCATGTAGCCGACCCCACTTAGTGGGATAAGGCTTGGTTGATGTATTTATTTAACCATCTTATCTCATAATTCAGTAAATAGAAACATGGACCATTGGACCCCCTTGTTGAAGCTCCAGAATGAAATAATAATCAAGATAGGCATTTGCCATTCAAATATATTCCTGATATTGAACTATAATTTTACAGTATAAAAAAAAAGCTGGTCATTATCTTGCACTGTAGACTAACCTGCGTGTGAGAACCGGTGAACTCAATGTCAACATAAAGTTTCAGAAGATTCCTCACAAGATACTCAAGAGACAGTTGGTGCCCTTCAAATAGAGTAGCTGTAGCAGATGAGCCACTGCATTAAGGGAATAGGGCAAGGCAAACACATCAAATTATTGAGCAAGGTTTAGTGATATAAGTTTAACAACCAAACTTTCAACTTTATATTTAAAAAAGACACCAAATTACCTCCTACGAGGCATCCAGCTGTTCAGAACTTCAACCATCTTGGCTCTCAGATATGGGTTTTTGATAAAATCAGGGCTGCCCATGAACATAATTATGAAGTTCATAAACTCATCCTACAGAACAAGCATATCAAGGCATAAGTATATTCATGAATAAGAAGAATTTTGCAGAGAATGGATTAATAAAATATAACTGATTGACGTGAAGTCTACCAGCACTACTCCATCCAAGGCCCTTGGAATCCGGGAAGCAAATATTAGAAGTTCCATGGCATCTTCTACAAAATGTTCAGGCATGGCAGAAAATTCCATTGGGCATGTTGATGGTAAAGGCATCTTAAATCCACCAACCAAGCCAACCAACCAGACGATCATCAAGCGGTAGAATGAAAGTGCATTCTGAATAAGTGTGTTATCCTAAAAAAATAATGTGAAGCCAAAAAAGTCAAAATGAGAAATTGAAACTTTGGCAAAACAAAAAATCTACATAATATGAAAGATGAACCAAGCATCAAGCTTTAGCAAGACATTAAACTAAAGAATATATAATCTTTTACATGTATATAATATATGACACTCTTATCCTTCAAAGCAACCACACTTGAGAAGTAAAAAGTAACTTCAGGTTCCATCAATGAGCTAATATCACAAATGAAAACCAGGAATGACACTGCTACTATAAGAAAGAGAACACGTAGATGACATTTTGTAGCACAGTATACAAGAACATTATGACAGCTACTTACACTCCCCCTTCAAAGTAGATATTATAATCATAAGTAATCCAAGAACCCTTGAAAGGCTATAGTAAAATACATATTCTAGGAGGTAATTAAGTTGAGCAAATTAGTAGCACAAAAACAAAACAAAAGATTGTCTCCCAGATGAAACCGTCCGTCAGTATTTGATTGCCACAAATCAGTTGTTCAAAGGAGGGATACATTTGAAAAGGAGGGAAAACACGAGTGTGGCTATTCTACCCTAGGAACTGATATAGAACCAAGCACTTTACAAAGTGAAATGGAAATTAAAAATAAAAGAAAAATGAAAAACTTCAGCAGTGTGCAGAGAAGGAATCTGTTTTCTTTCTATCTCAGACAAACCGACCCATACTCAACAGAATTCTCGCATGCCTCTATTGTGTGTGTGTGGATCCATTTACTTCTGTCTGAGTCAAACGCTACCTAAGTGTGTGGGTGTGGGTGTGATGGACATTATACAGAAATAACAAAACTCCAAAGAGAGAAGATATATGACCTACCCTCAATATCTGAGCTTCATAACAAAGTTTTTCCTGCGAATACAACTCCAGCTCTTTCTCAAGTCGAGTTATATCTAATTCCAATTGAGGAGAGGATGACTGCCCCTGCATGTTTTTAAGTGTAGATAGAGTATCTTCGCTTCTAGAAATATCCTGAAAAATAGCATTCAAAGCATATAAGAGATAAGACAGTATTAAAATTTATCCCCCATAAAATAAGAATACTGAACCTTTAATTCTACCTGAAGTAACATACATGTAATTACCTGAACTAAGTGTTTGAAGTCGGAAAATGCTTTTAAAAGGCCCAAGTTGAGCACTCTGGCAGTCATAAAGAAGCATTCACATATAAATGAATATTTTGCGCGCGCAGAGTTTTCATTTGAAAGATCACTAGCATTATTGCTACCAGAACTACTGGCCTCTTGAGATTGTTGCAGACGTTTCTCACCATCATTATATTGATTATTTTCCCCTGCCTTTGCTGGGTTTTTACTAGTAAGCCACTCAGCAACTTCTTCTGATGACGCATGAAGGGCAGTCAACCCACTAAAATAAGATCATAACCAAAAGTTATCAATAGAGTGATACATGAAACTTCAATAAGAAATTTTAAAATCTAAATATGCAAAAGCCTCGCACCTTAGCTTCAACCGGTTTGAGTGGTGAACATATTTAGCATCAATTTTATCCCTTTTTGTTAAATTTGCATCTAAAAATGGTTCACAGAGGCGAAGCATGACAGCACTCAGATTTACAAACATGCCTGAACTTGCACACGTAATTGGGTCAACCTGTTTAAAAAATGTAATGTGTAGTCTCATAAGAAACATTAGAAAAAAGAATCGGAATAAGTCCAAAAAGAAAACACTGAATTTCAGACTGAATATGAATAGTAATGGGAAAAGGACTGGAAAAAAAAAAAGAAAGAAGAAATAAGTTATTAATACAATTTCATTCATTTTTTCATGCTTCATTGTTTTTCACAATGCAGATAAGAAAGAAATTTACCTGTATATGAGCCCTAGATGCATTTAAATTGATCACTTCTGCAAGATACTCAAGTACATTTTCACGCGTATCTGTACTTCTAAGGAGGTTGCGGAGCACTTCAGATAGACCATCATATAGGGTATTCATGACAGTTTTGATGGTGGTATATGAAGATAATAAGTCAGATGGTCGCCGAGTTGACGCATCAGAAAAGCACTGCTGCCTGGATTTGAAGGAGAAAAAATATGTTAAAGAAGAAGCCAACTCAATAGTACTCCATAAGTAAACTCACAAATGAATCTCCCTCACTACTAATGCCCGTAGAGTAAAGTAGTGAAAGGCAGTGAAAATCGGTAAGTGGAATGAGAATAGGTTGAAATGAAAGGCAGTGAAAATGGTATAAATGAACGCAAGTCTGTAATACACAGTGCAAGAGGCAAGGAAAAATATAATCATCCTCTAAGTAAACAATTGAGTTTTTATAAAGCGAGAGACAACGTCGTGCCTAAAACTAACACTGGTTGTTATTGCTCACAGTGATGAAGGGCATGTTAGTTAAGTTGCAGTTCCTTAATCAAGCAAATGCTGCCAAATAAAGATAAACAACCAAGGCAACTCAGGGTGGTGACTGAACATAACTAATGAATCCACCTGTTAAGGTGAATGAGTTTCGAACATTTTTCGCTTTTTTTTCTTATTGTTAGAGTACCGGTGCAGTACTGCTAGCTCAGCACAGAAAAAGACAAGAAGCAATAAGAAATCCCCCCACATCTCAACACATCTAAAATTAGAAAGTTTTAAGGCTCAAGAACTTGATTAATACTTCTGAAGCCCCAATTAAAGGAATATCCTTAAGGTTAACTTCATTACCATCAACCAATAAAATGCTGAAAGACCAACATATTGACCACAAACAATTTGTTCCCATGAATCTAAGGGATGGAACCAATAAGCCCATCAAAATTATACCCTTTACAATGTGTCATAAATAAATTAAAACTACTCGAGTTAACTTTAACCAAGTGGCGTTTGAATTCCTTTTCTAAAACTTACTTAAACTTCTCTCACAACTTACCAATAATTCCTATTAAATTGATTTCAATATGTGCTTCAAGAACAGTGTTGTCGATTGCGGATGGCGGTCCATGGCGGAGAGCCAAAATCCCACCATACCGGCCGCTTTGCAGCACCGTTATTGCAGATTATGGCAGAAAAACCCGCACTAACGAACGATATTTACCATTATGGCAAGCCCAAAAACTGCCATGTATATCGGCCATAGCGCCGCAATTTGATAACACTGTTCATGAATAAGCTTATTTTAATAAACTAGACTTCTCATGACAAAACCACTCTGGACAAAGGCTGAATTAAGCTATTGACCCAATCAGTTAGTTGAACCAAGTTCACAAAACTGAAAGCAACACTCCTCTATTACCATTATCTTCATTTTCTCACCAATGAAAAAAGCAAGACAGCCAACAGTTGAACCACAGAAAAAAACTATATACACAGTCCATACAATGAAAACAACAGATAGTTCAATCAAGTACATGAATGAAACCATCACTTCGATTCCTAACCGATATTTAAACCACTATTGTCAATCGCAGATTATGAAAATCATTTGTTTGATCAAAATTTGCAATGCAGCAATGCTATAGCATCACCATATGAAAATATTTTGTACAAAATAGCTTATTGCGATTTGTTCAAATTTCACTCCGCTATAGTCATTTAACAACACTAAATTGAATTCCAAAAACACTAAACAAAAATTCACATAATCTAACTAATTGAAACATCAAAGCTCACCCAATATCAGGCTGGCTCTTGAAGAAGGTTTGATCAGGAATAGCACTGATATGAAAAAAGGGCCCCAAAATGCTAGTCATTTCAATAGCCCGACCATTCATATAAACACCTTTGGGAATCCACCACTCATGACTGACAAGAGACTTTGCACCAACAGGTAACCTAACCAAAAACAACAAAGCCCTAAGAGAGTCTTGAAAATTTCCAAGAACAGAAACTTTCATTACACTCCCTCTCAATTCTTCGTACAACCCTTTCAAAATCCTATCCAAACTTTCAAAATCAGGATCCCTAAAAAACTCATCCAAAAACCCTGGAGGACTCCTCACTCCTCCTCCACCACTTCCACCACCAAAAACCCCCATTCCACCTCCCCCGCCACACTCCGATATAATCAACGGCAACAACGGAGATGTCCTAGTGTCAGAATTCGAATTCTTATTCGCAAAAAGCTCAGGATTCGCGAGATGGATCCTGCAATATGAAACACATAGTTTCTTAGCTTGCTTCACAACATTCTCCATCTCTGACCTAACATTTTTATCCTTCATGTTAACGATTTTCTTTGCTTCATCATGTGCGCGGTTGTAACAACCAACAAGATACTGAAACGTGGAAGCTTCAGCACCGGAAACAGAGAAATCGCCGGAGAGACGATCGATTAGGACTCTCTCCATAACCTCGCGAGAGAGGAGAAGGTCTTTGCCTTCGCTGAGAATCTCGGCGGCGGTTAGTTCAAGATAAACGATTCTCGAATCGGTAGTTGCGGTAGTGGTGGTGGATTCTCCGGTGATGGTGACGTGGAAGATTTTTCGGATGATGATGTCTTCCACTTCTTGTGGAGTTCGTTGGGGTTTCGGAGTCGCCATTGGAGTGATCGAAAATCGATTCTATGAGGCTTTGATTTCGAGATTATGAAAAGTTTAGGTTATATAAATATTCTCTGAGAAATTTTCCAGAGAAAGAAAGGGAAAAAGGATCTAGTTAGAGTGATAGAAAGAAGATGCTTCTTCTTCTTTCGGAAGGAAAACACAGTTCAACTGAAATTAGGGGTTGAAGAAAGGTGAGCTTCAAACGACATCCGAAGAGGATCAAACGACATGCCTATGTTATAACAATTATTATACTGGTATATATAGTTCTTTTTATAAATCAAATTGGATTTTAAATTAAAATAAAATCACAATCCAATGGTTCAAATAAATGCTATCAGATCTGATTTTACTTTATTTATTTATTTAAAACTGTCTAATAATAATAATAATAAAGAGTTGATATAGATTTAATTTGATTTTTTACATTATTACATTTATGTCATTGAGTATGTTAAATTAAAATCTTAACTTAAATTAAGGGTTATAAATCAACATGTTAAATTTGAAAAGAAAAAAGAAAATTTTAAACACATAAAATTAATTTAAACTAATCAAGCTTATTTTAAAAATCATGAAACTTTTAACCGAGGTAGTTTTGTATGAGGATTTAATTTGGCATACTTTTTTGCCTTGAACAACTTTTATTAATATCTTTTTAATTATTTAAAATAATTATGAAGATTTAATTCATACTATATCATCAATGTAAATAGTTTGTATATTGTCACTTAATTATAATTGTCAAATTATTAAAATGTTTGACTTTATTAATAGATATTAAATATTATTATATTTAATAGATTTATTATGAATGATTTAGTAAATTTAATTATTAACAGTATTAGCACTTATTAAATTATATACAATAATTAACAATCAATCATAACAATTATTAATACAATAATTTAATAATTTATTTTTGATTAATTTGTTATATATTTATATTTTTCTAATAAACTTATATCATAATTATTTTTAAGAGATATTACATTCAGCTCCGTCGAAATATATTAAAATAGTACTTACACCACTTTTAATTTCAAATAATGCATTAATCTCTTTTAAAATCTATTAAAATGATATTTAAAATTTTCACCTTTTATTTTTTATGTCAGTCAAAAGTCGTAGATATATATAAATTTACTTATAATTTTTCTTTGTGATTAAAATTTATGCTAGTACATATAATAAAAGATATTTATGAATATTTTAAAGCTACATGGGATGTCGGGGTCATTTTAACAAATCTCAGAGAAAATGAGTGTAATTTTCCCTTACTTTTAAAGTCAATCATAAAATAACATGTTTTCCTATAATTTTTGCATGAAATTAGCCTTGAGAGAATACACAAATTTTCTGTTTGGTTGGTTACCAATATACTGATAGTGCATAGTGGTGGTTCATTCTATAAGAAAGCTGGAGTTTTATTCAATTTAACATTGTATAGAAAAATACTTGCTATAAACTCACGTTTTCGTGGTTCATGAGTTTTATTCAAATTGCGGAGTTTTACTGTTCATGGGTTGCTTTTTATTCTATAAACTCACGTTTTCGTAGCCATGAAAAAACTTGTTATACACTTCTAGATTTACAGTGCTATAAAAATTGGATTTACATTGTATAAAGAAAAAACTAAAGTTAGTTACAGTATTATAAATTATTAGTAATATAAAGTGTTAGATTTGTTATGAAGATTCTTATTTAATTTGGGTTTGAAATTATGTATTTGATTTGTTATAAAAATTCATACATTATTTGTTCTAATTTTGATATGATGTGTTAGATTTGTTATAAATATTTTGATTTGATTTATTTATATATGAATTTATAATTAAAGTAAATTTTATTGTTTAATTTGTTATAGATGACTAACCAAGATATAAGAATCAAGTATATGAAATTGGTTCAAATGATGATTCTTCATGTATTTATTATTATTGCTCTAATATGTTTGCTAAAGAAAACAACCGTAAAAGATCATAAATACCTTATAGAATCACATAGTAAAGAGAGAAGTTAGAAATGAGTTGATGAAACATATTGTAGGAACTGAACGATGTTATGATATTATTTGTATGGGTCCCAAAACTTTCTTAAACTTGTGCACCTTATTACAAGATCAAGTGGACTTACACATACACGAAGAGTGTCTATCGAGGAACAAGTAGCGAAATTTCTTCACTTAGTATGGCATAATGTTAGAAACCGTGTGATGTCCTTATTTTTTAAGACGCCCTGGTGAAACTATCAGTCGTCATTTTCATAGAGTGATAGATGCTTTGATAGAGGTGGAGAGAAATTTTTTAAAACAACCCGATGGAATACAAGTGTCTCCGCATATACTTAATAGTCATTGATTCTACTTGTATTTTAAGATAAACAAAAATTGTGTCTTATACAAATATTGGTTAGTTTTGTTATACATTTTTTATATATAAATTGAATGTCAGGATTGTATTTGAGCAATTGATTGCACACATGTGTGTGTTAAAATTCCAATAGAACTCGCACCTAGATACTGTGGTAGGAAATATTATCCCACACAAAATGTATTGGTTGCATGCTCATTTAACTTGAAATTTACATATGTCTTGGTTGGGTGGGAAGGAACGATGTTTGACTCAAGAATAGTTAAGAGTGCAATGGCACATGCATACCCTCTTAAAGTTCCACAAGGTAATAAAAAATAATAAAAAATATTTGTATAAGTATTTAGGTTAGATAAACAAATAAACTAATAATTTTTTTTAGGAAAATATCATCTGAGTGATGCATGATTTCCTTTAAACACATGTCTCATCACACTGTATAGGAGAGAAAGATACCACTTACAAGAATACACTAGAAACACACCTCAAAACCCTCGTGAGTTATTCAACCATCGACATTCCTCACTACGAATGTCAATTGAATGTGCATTTGAAATGTTAAATAAAAGATAAAAGATCACATGAAGCACATCAAAACAAAATTCAATTCTTGTTACGACCTTTTCCATAATGGCATGAGTGTGTTTGGATGGGATTCAACGACAAATATGTGGATTGCTGAATATGAAGTTTGGAACAAGCTAATTGAGGTATTATTTAGTATAATTGTTTTACCAAATTATTTTTATTTCATTTCACTCATAAAAAACTTTTTTAGTGATGCCTTATTTCGTTTATTATGGTGTAGGCAAAACTCGAAGTTATTGAATGGAAAAACAAGCCAATATTATTTTACGGTAAATTGACCAAACTTTTTGAAAAAAGATCGAGCAACATGAGAGCATGAAGATACAACTGCTGAGATGAGAGCAAAAAAAGCTGCAAATATTGAAAAAAGTTATGGCACAACCATCGAAGAAATATATCACCTAGTTGAAACCAATGAAGTTATTTTGGAGGAATTTGATGATGATGAACATCATTCCAACAATTCTCCTACAAGACCTTCTGTTACCAATTCTCAAGATGCATTATCATCTAGAACTAAGAAGTGAGTAAAAAAGGTTATTGAAAATGACACAAGCATGATTGAAATTTCCAAAACATTAAAAAAAACGGTTGATGTGTTTGAAATGAACACAATGGAGTTGGTCAAATAGAGTAAGAATACTAATGGTGGAGATATTTGGACTGAGTTGATCGAGATTGGCGTCGAACAAAGTTTTTTACCTCTTGTATACATGTACCTTGTTAAGAATGTTTACACATTGAAAGCTTTTTATGGAATTTCGATCGATAAGCGCAACGAAATGTTACATCTCATTGTTCGAGACTATCTTTTTTGTTAATGGTAACACATTTAGTTTTTAATTTTATGTATTTTTTATCTTTGGCAAGTGAAATTTAGCGTAATTTATTTTATGTATTTTTACCGGTTTTGTGGTTAAAGAAGAGAGTCATTATCTATAATGGACCTATATTTGTGTTTTGTTCTAGCAAGAATTGATATCATTATCTTCAATAGAGCTATATTTATCTTTTAATTTAAGGAAGATTTGATTTTGTTTATTAACTACCATGATTACTAAGTATGGTGTTCACAAATACTTGCACTTGCTCCTTGCAATTTCATGTTATAATAACCATGTTTCATTTATGAAATTTTAAATTTATGACAATATGTTTCATTTTCTTTCAATAGTTAAGTTGATATTTTTGTATGGTTATATATATATATATATATATATATATATATATATATATATATATATATATATATATATATATATATATATATATATATATATATATATATATATATATATATATATATATATATATATATATATATATATATATATATATATATATATATATATATATATATATATATATATATATATATATATATATATATATATATATATATATATATATATATATATATATATATATATATATATATATATATATATATATATATATTATTTTATTGTGTGAATATTGGATCTATCAATATTGTAGTATTCTTTATCATAAAAGTGTTAAGTGTTTAAGGGTAAAATGGAATAAAAAATTATAATGTCTTTTCGCTTCGTCCAATTTCTAAACAGTGGAATGAGATATTCATTCCGCTACGTTGTGAAGTATATAAATAGTGGATTGGAGTTTATGTTTTGTTCCACTCCGCTCCATACCATTCCGTTCTATTTTGCTCTGCTATGTTTCGTTAGTTTAAAATTATCCAAATATAGCCTAAAGGTGTATTATCTGTAGGCCCGCCTCCGCTCTGCCGTCATTTTTTTTACGAAGCAGATCAAGGTTTTAGACTCGTACACTCGACAATATCTGCCCTGCTTCATTTTTTTGCAAACTTTTGCAGGGCGGACATAAATAGGATAGGCATGCCCGTTTGCCACCCTACACTCACAGATCATCACAAAGCTCTTATTATTGACCCATAGTTGATTTATGACCAATACTTCAGTGTTATAAAGTTGAGTTGAATTTTCCAATTTTTTCTTATCGTAATAAGTACTTGGATCCTTATAAACCCAGTATGTT